AAATGGGAAATAAAGCATTCAGATTTTCACTATTTGCTGACGGCAAAATAGTTTACATAAGTGACGTGAAAAAAATTTACCAGGAACAAGATTAACTCAAAAAAGTCAGTAACTCTCCTATATATAGATGAGAAACAGCTGGGAAAGAAATCAGAGAAACACCACCCTTCACAATAGCCACAAATGACATAAAATATCTTGGAGTAACTCTGACCATGCAAGTGAAAGATATGTATGACAAGAACTTTAAATCTTTGAAGAAAGAAATTAAACAGGGTATCAGAAAAATGGAAACATCTCCCATGCTCTTGGATAGGTAGATTAACATAGTATAAAATGGCAATCTAACCAAAAGCAATCTACAGGTTCAGTGCAGTCCCCATCAAAATCTCAGGACAATTCTTCACTGTCTATCTACCTCATCCCATATCTGTTCAACTCTATGCAACCCATGCAGGAAACAGTAACATCGTCCTGACACAGGCTGAAAAATGATGGAATGTATCTGAAGCTCCAGATTAGCTGTGATCATTGCATACCTGATGTAGAAGACATGCTTCCCCTTGCTGGAGCAGGCTGTGTACTCAACTGAAGAAGCCAGGCTATCTGCTCAACTGCCTAATTGAGGGCAGTGCCCACTATGGGCTCTGTGTGACACTGTACCTCCAATAGCATCCTCATCTCAGCTGCCGCTGTTACACTGTCTCTTCAGGACCTCCCCACAGGCATCCTGAGTTGAAACAGAGGTCAAGGTTGAGCTTCAAGTGATCCCTTAACCTCAATGGACACACTGAACACCTGCCAAGCCTTATAGTGTGCAACTTGATTAGCATGTGGTGCCAGAGGAGACTGAGCAGCCACTGGGTGTGGATTATGAAGGAGAAGAGTCATTGAATAGACTGAGGAGGTACAGTAGGGAGCTCAGTAGTCACTCAAGGACAGGATGGGCAGTGGCGACAGGTAGTCTACATGGAATGCATGTAAGATGGGTGCATGCTGAGAGGCCTGGGCTTTCTCTCACCTGTAAGACTGCTTTGGGCCATGGCCAAGGAGGATGGCAGGAGGTGAAGGGGACTCTACTGTGAGAGCCCTGCCCTGCTTCACTGTGCATAATATGACCTGAATGCATCCTGAGGACTTGAGGCAATGAGGTGAGAGTCATCTCCATGGCTGCTCAACCCACCCCTTCACTGCTTTTTGACAGGGGTGTAAGTCAAGCCTTTTGAACTTATACTGAAGTCAAGTCTGTCTGTGGAGCCTGGAGTGTGTATCAGGATGCAGCTCTGGGATGTCATGTGCCTTGGTTTCCATTGTCAGCATTGGCTGGATCAGTATCCCTACATAGATGGGGCCTGTATTCCACTTAGCCCTACTCATCAGGATCCAGTGTCACAGGTCGTGGAGTCTGCTAGCCAAGAAGTAAGAGTTCAGACCTTAGACTTGAGACACAGGCCCTTCAACAGTCTGGCCATAGTCCCCCACTGGGCTGATTCCTGTGACATTAAGTTCCATAAGTTGTGCCCCTCACAAGAGCAGGAATGTCTTGCCACCTGTCTGGCCCTGCCATGGCCATAGCTTCCCATTGCAAAGTGGTTGGAAATTCTGATACTGTTGTTATTTTCTGTGTTGTCAGGGGCTTATCTGGTAGCTGGATCCTGCTGGATGCCAGGGTCTCCCTCCTAGCAGTGTCAACCTAACCAATTAAATTGGGAGGCTAGCCATCTACCAATCAAGTGGGGGGATTCCTATTCCTCCTGATGACCCTCCCCAGCCCTGAAAGCAATGGCAGTTGTCACAATATCCCTAGGCAGTGCCACAGTCAATATTCCATATGCCTGTATGGACTGCGGTCTCCACAAGAGACTGCCCTCATTTTCCATGAGGGAATGTCCTCCTTTGCCTCTAGTGCACAATTCTGCTATGCACCTATCTCCCTGGCTCCACATGCAGGGAGCCTCTTCTCTTGTCAGCCCTTTCTACCTCCTCCAGGAATTCCCCCTCATAACATCTGTCATTGGCCCCTGCTTTCCTTGGAGAGGAAGTTTGGCCAATGCTTTGTCTCCAGCTCCTGGTCCTGATCCTGCCACAACAGGGGCATTGGAAAAGAATGGTGAGTGAATCAATGAGTACGAAAATCAACTGTGATTAGAAATGAGGATACCTGGTCTCTGGGAAGTTTATCTCAGACCCCTCTCTGTGCTCTGATGCCAAAGGATGGACAGACAGCTGTTCCCGATCATCTTTGTTCCATCTATAGGAAGAGAGGAAAGTCTCTCTGGGTGATCCTAAACACAGGACCCTGTGTCAGGCAGGCTCCAGGGGACTTGGTCTGTGAGTACTGCTGGGTTTGGAAAGGTGGGTTCTGCTCTGGTTCTTGCAGTGGTTCCCATCCCCATGTGTGGTCTGCAGGGGTCTCAGTGTGTGAGTGTGTACCAGTGAGGCAGTAAGACATGAATCATTCATCTGAGCCCCAGTGGACACGGTGTTTCCTTCTCTTTGGAGTGTACGGTTGGGAAGGGCTGAGACTCTTGCCCGGCAAGCAGGTACCCATTACCTGAGGGGGAAGAGATAACATGAAGGGAAAAATAGGAAATTCACCAAGTGACAACAAAGCTTCGGAATTGTTGAGTATCAGGGGTAAACAAGGGTGAATATACTAGAATCCAGGGGACCCAGAAGGAATCAGTCTCTGCCTCATTGAGTGGCTGGCCCTGCACACAAACGCTCTGTCTGTTTGTCCATTTGGAAAGCAGGGTTGCTTTACATAGAATCATCTCATGTTTTCTCCAGGGATCATATCCACAGTTCCCTCATGGATATGGACCAGAAAGAAAACCTGGCCATTGACATGAGCCCCATGGAACAGTAAGCCACATCCACTGAAACTGCAGACATAGAGGAGAAACCAAGCCCACCCAGAGAAGGTGACTGTGTTGAACAACATCCTGCTAGATTTCATGGGAGGACAGATGTCCTCAGCAGGTAGCTGATGTCTAGATTCCCCCAGCAGCTGTCCTGAAGACCTAAAGAGATCCAAGGGAGGGGAGTATCTGCTGTGGATAAGATGGAGAGCCAGTCTCATGGAAAGGTAACTGAGGCTTGTATATGAAAAAACAGTCCAGGGCTAAGCCTCAGGAAAACCACAGCAGTTCGTAGCCTATGTACCAATGTGAAATGGTGTCCACACAGGATCTGCATGGAAGATGGGAAAGACCTGTGAGGATGCAAAGAACCAGCTGATGGTCTACATGGAGACAAGTAGCCAGGAACACAACAGTATCTACTTCTCTTCCTCAGCTGCCTTCCATCTGCCCACCTTCACCCCCTTTACTCCTAGAACTCCTGGATGAAATAGAAGAGTAAGATAATCCTCAGTGCAGGCCCCAAAACCCACACCTTCCCTGGGGTCCAAACTTAGGACCATCATTCCCAGCTGAGATACCTCCCATTTTGTCCCATTCCTAGCAAGCCATCGCCAGAGCAGATGAAGTGGTGTCCTATCCCCTGAGAAACAGCACTCACAAAATGGTCCAGCCCTTTTCCAATTAATGTTCTGCTCCCTCTGACTATGACTGATACCCATAACCCTGTCATCTGTGGATCTGACCCAGCATACTCTGACCCAAGCATGGCATGTGAGCAGTGCCAAGTGGGCTCTGGCTTTTGTGTTGAGGTGAGATGACCTAGTCATTACCAAGGAAAGATTTTTGCCCTCCTCTGGCTGCCGCAGCAGAAGCTGCCTAGTGTTATCCTCCAGGCCCATCATGAGGTCTAGCCAACAGTCCACCATGTCCAACAGCAGAAAAGGAGGTCAGGACAGGTGAGTAGTTGTTCCCTGCACTACAGTGCCTTTCTTTGCTCTCCAATACTCCACACAGCCCCATCTGTGCTGCTGGTTGGCCAACTGCAAGTTGAGATGTAACCCTGCCATTCCCTTTCAAGCAGGTATCTAATGGCGTAAGACAGTCCAGTGTCTGAGGGCCAAGGAAACATGCCCCAGAGCGATGAGTCTGAGTTGGATTTGAAGGACTATGAAAGCTTGTGAAGCATTCATAAGAGCACATAGGAATTGTATCAAAGGAAGCAGCAGTTGTAAAGGCACAGAGACATGTCCTTACAGCTCATTCTGATACCCTGGTGTTTATTGTCCACAGCTATTCATGCCCAGCTCCAATCTGTACCCTATCCCATGCCCAAGAGCTCAGTCCACTCCAGTTAGCCTCTCTGTTGCTGTTAGGAATTAGCAAATGGAATGGAATGGATCTGTGGACCCCCATATTCCCACCATCTCTGAAGCCCCAGCAAAGCCCTAAGAGCTGACATATTAATTCCTCAACTTCCGAATAGAGAGAAAGGATGTAGCAACTCTGGGAGAATGAACGTGTCCAGAGTATATGCTGAGTTCTAAGGGGACAACCTAGGCCCAATGGAATGGGATTAGAAGTATAAAAGGTCAAAGTCACCAAGTCATTTCTGGGGAAACTTGGGGTGTGCTAGTTTAGTTCATGTGCTATGAAAATGGCCATCCACGTTTCCCAGCCCTATTTCCTCTGGTCTATGTCTCCATCTGGATGAAGCTCTTTTGACAGAATGCACAGACATCCATGAATCAAGAGAAGCCTCCTGGATTGTGTCGTTTCCAGTGCTGTCATAGGGCCATCATGATTAACATCAGGGAAACCCTATAGAAATATATGAGGCCAGAATCCACTTCTCAGACTAATCTGCACTACTTATTGGAGATAAGTCTTCTGCGCTTGCAGAGATCCAAGAGTTTGCATCTACTCCTCCCTACTAGGAAGGGTTGGTTACAGCTACCTCTGAGGCTTCCCTGAGAAATCTCTCACTTTGGAGCACAGTCAGCTGCTCTGGAGTTCTGAGAATGTCCAAACACTGGGCAGAGTCTGGTCAGAGCTGCTCAAAACACAGGATAGTATGCCAATATGACCCAAAGACAGAGGTTGTGAGCAACATATGAACATGACAGGAGTAGCATTATGTCTTTGTTGATACTTTTAATTCTCACAATAACCCCCTTTCTCACATTCCTTGATCATAGCAGCAATTGAGGCATGTCACCCTTCAGGGTCAGTGACCTAATGAAGTCCTAGTGCAGAGGGACCTCCGGGTGTGCATGTGTGATGAATCAGGATGTGGGTGGAAAAGTTGGTCCCTACAATGTCAGTAAACATTTGGCCACAGGGCTTTGTAGCAACCTGAACTTATGGGAACTATTCACCAGCTGTAGGCTGTGAAATATGCCAACATGCATTCCTTCCTCGGTAGTATTTAATTGCTCATGATGACTAAGAGGTCTTTGAGGAAGGAATGTGACATTACTCACCAATATTTAGAAAGTCTAGCTCAGTTCTCCACATGGGAAATACTAGAGGGCTTCCATGCAAGCTTAGGAAACTCTGGATTTGGAAGGAGGGGTTGCTGGATGGCTTACCCTATATTCGAAGACAAGATCCTGGAATGGGACCCTGGGATTTTGGTACATTCAGGGAGTAATAATTAGCAGGGAGGCAAAGCTGTTCTCCATGACATCAGCAGTCCCTTCCTTGGGAATTCTATTGTATCCTGGAGAGCTCATGGCATTCCACGATGTCACCAGTGTTGTAGCAACACCAACGGCCCTTAGGGCATTACTTCAGTGACTCTCTGGTTTATCATTAGAAATGTTGTCAAGAATGAGGTCTCTGTTTGCAAGAGAACATGGAGAACATTCAGAGACTAGAGAGAGACAGAAAGAAGCTGATGTTACTTCTCAAAATAAAGCAGCAACACATAAGTGGTCCTGGCGTAGGCACAGTGAGTGATGGGCAGGAGATGGGGAGGGTCCTGGAGGAGGTGGACTTCAGCTGGGACTTTCAGTAATGGGACAGAGGATCTGGACCCTCTGGGAAGCAAATGGACCTCAATGCTTATCCTAATTCCTGATAGTCCATGACTCCAGAGCATTAGTTTGTCTGTTCCCTAAGCCAAGACCGGGCAAGGCCAAGGCTGTTGTGCTAGGCGCACCTAGATTTTACCTTTAGCACACTCGGTAGTGTAATGTGGGGACCCCAGGATCCCACCTGGAGTCAGTAGGGACTAATGTGTCCCCAGATGTGGGCAGGCATCACTGCACGTCACCCTCAGCAGTTTTCTTTAGGTGCAGTGACTGTGTGACACCAGTCACATGGAGAGATGAGTACTTCTGGCTAAGACTTTATGTCCTCAGACTGTACAGCAGAACTCCTCTATTCACGTCTCCCTGACAGTGGTCCCCGTAGACTACTGAATCTGCAGTTGAGGTTGGCAGTCAATACTCTCATGTAGTCAAACAACTGTTAGAGGTATGGGTCCAGGGCAGCAATTCTCCCCTTCAATCCAGCTTCCATGTTTTGGGCCCTCAGTGGTGTGGGGTGACTTGGTGAATCTTTTGACCATGTTGTGTCCCTGCATGACTTTTCAGTCTACACCCATGGACCTGGAATGAATGGGCAGGAGATCTGGACTCCTCACAGCACCTGAGTGCTTGTGCAATTTTCCATTTCTACTGGCTTTTGAAAAATCAGGCAGGCTTCAGGGCTCTGGGCCATGCTGCATTCTGTGTCACTGTAATTAATCCTGAAAGGTGGTCTTTGTCTTCACCTGAAGCATGTGTGGGGACATAGAGGAAATCCCTGACTGCTTATATAACCACATCTCTACAGAGTGTTGGGAGATCTGTGATCCACAGAGGGGGCATCTCAACCAGAGGCAAAATTATTGGAAAGTCACAGAAGTCCAGACATGATCTTTCTGTTTGGACCTCAGGGTGTTCTATCCATTCTCTGTGAATTGTCATCGTGCAATTTCACTTGTGTCCATCTACCCACAGAGGCTCCTTTGGAGACATCATCCCAGCCAACGCTCCTTACCAAGAAACAAGTGAAGAAGGAGATAGAGAGGATGACCACAGAGCTGCAGCTGATGACCAACCAAAGGAATGAGCTGCGAGATCGCCTGCTCTTCATCAGTGAAGGAACTGTGGACAATAGGTATCCATTGTTTCATACCGCACAGGACTGTCCACACTCACCATCACCTCCTCTCTTTTGAGGTCTGGAGTTCCACAGAGACAGCTTATCTTCACTCATGGGAGCTCACAGACCCTGGACCAACAGTTAGGGAGCCTACATGGAACTGGCCTAGGCCCTCTGCATGTGTGTGACTATTGTGTAACTTGGTGTCATTGTAGGGATCCTAGAAGTGAGATCAAGATCTATCCCTGGAGCTTAGCTGCCTTGTGGGACCTCTTCCCTATGGGGATTACCTTATCTAGCCCTGATGCAAGGCAAGGAGCTCAGTCCTTTGCTCAATCCCATTTTAGCCTGGCACCTTTCTGAGTGGAGATGGAGGAGGACTAGAAGGGGGAGATAGGAAGCAGGGTGCATGTGGGGGGACCTGAAGAGGGCAGAGGGGAAACTGCGGGTAGTATGGAAAATTAATAAAAATATGCTTTTTAAATGAAACAAATATTTTGATGAAAAAGTTCTCAGTTTCTAGAAGGCTGCATATCCACAGTGACTCTGTAGCCACCTCATGACTTAATTTCTTCTCAGAGGAGACGCAGACCTGAAACTTTAGAGGGAGTAAAATGGGGACTCTGGATTTACTGCTTTCTCCAAATGGAAACCATAGACTGTAGTCTTATCCACATAACTCAGGGATTGAGACAGCAATGTGTGAATTCCCTGCATGCATTTGTGAGATTTTGGTGAACCTTTAAACTTCCCTGGAAGGTGATTGTGTGCTAGAAAATCTAGATAGCAGCTTGGCAGGGATGTTTCCACTTGGTCCTTCTCAGTGTGGTACAGGGAGTCCAGGGACTCATCACTGTTTCTTTCGAGTTTTGTGCATTATAGTCTTAGACAATAGTGCTGCATATATTTCATTAGCATTATGGTTGCTCTCCCTCTTTGTGTGTTCTCAACTTCTCTCTCTCTCTCTCTCTCTCTCTCTCTCTCTCTCTCCCTCCCTGTCACTTCCCCCTCTCTCTTATACTCTTTCCTTCCTGTCTCCCTCCCCTTCTCACCTTCCCTCTAACTTACTCTTTCTCCTCCCCTCCTCCTCAACGACCCCTCCACATCTCCTTCTCCCTCTACTTCTCCTCTCTCTCCCTCTGGTGTTCATATATGTATTTTCAGGATTCTGTAACCAGAAGCAATCTGGGACCAGGACTCTGTGGAGGGTCCTGAGGATTTGCCTGCTTTAGTTTCCAGGCTATAATACTGCTGAGGTGTGGGAGCCCCACTTTAAGCATCAATGTTCTTATCCTAAGTTCTCACCGACATAGCAACTAGCAAAACCTTGGGAAGTTTATATAGCTGTCCTAGTGTTGTGTCTCAACCAGAGAATTATTTGCTGTAACTCATCAGTAGTAGTCACCTGCATCATAGAATCAATGTCCTAGAACAGGAGAAACCTCATTGCATTATCTGGTGTGCCAAGACCTGATTCATAGACTCCCAGTAAAATATTTACCAGATGGATGGCTCACAACCAGTGAGTGAGCTCCTGCATCCAGGGCAACCTCTATCTGGACGCCCAGCTCTTGTTGTCACAGGGACAGGGTAACAAGTTTAAAAGCACCAGGAAGTCCCACTACTTATCAGTCAGAATGTGGAATCCAATGGGCTTTGGCAGACCAGGATATAACTTCAGTTCACATGACACTTGAGGCCTGTGTTTATGGGATCCTTTCCTTCTGTTTCTAGACCCTACCACAAGCCAAATCCATTTTATGAGAAACTGAAGCTGGAACATAAACAGGTCCTGTGGGAACTAAAGGTTTTTGAGAATGAGAAAACTGAGGTCTCAGAAAAGTTCAGTGAGCTGAACAAGGAGACAGTCTTCTATCGGTAAGTGCCCATCTTGGCCTGGACCCCATGAGTTGTGGAACTGTCACATCTGCATTTTGTTTACTGGGACTGGAGAGTCCACAGCTATGGTTCTAGCCTTTCTGCTCCATAGCAAGCAACTCTTGGATATGTGTCTCTTGGACTCAGGTTTGCTAAGTGTGAAAGAGACTGATGGCCCCTGCCACCATTATTCTAGAGCCTCAGGATCCTCTAGATAGAAATGCAAATTGCACTGTGGGGAGAATGTCAGGAAGCCCTGGGTTTCAGGAACTCAGGCCAAGGCTTTAGAAATCTGGTGACTGTGGAACCTCTAGATATTCACCTTGGGTCTCCTGTCGT